GGTGGAAATATTTAGGAGATTTGGGAGTTTCTTGGCTTACTAAACTCTTTAATATTATTTTAAAAACTAAAAATATGCTAACGAGTGGAGGAAGAGTATTTTGGTTCCCATTCTGAATTATAAAAGGGATGCACAAGAGTGCAAATTATAGAGGAATTAAGTTGATGAGTGATGTGTCATACTATAAAATTATAGGAGAGGGTAGTTGAGCATAGGTTAAGATGTATTACGAAGATTTCTCATAATCAATTTGGATTTATGTTGGGCAGGTCTACTATTGAAGCCATACATTTATTGAGAGGTTTGATAGAGAAGTTAAGAGATAATAAGGAGGATCTACATTTGATTTTGATTGATTTAGAAAAAAGCATTCGATAAGGTTCCAAGAGATATCCTTTGGAGAGTTCTTGAGAAGAAAGGTGTTGATACGACTTATATTCAAGTCATTAAAGATATGTATGCTAGAGCTGTTACTTGTGTTGGAGTTGAAGGAGGATTGACCAAATATTTTCCTATTTTTGTTGGTTTACTTTATTGAAGCTCATATCTTTTTGCTTTAGTTATGTATGGTCTTACTGGACATTTACAAGTGGATGTACCATGGTGTATGTTTTTTGCTGATGATATTATTCTAGTGGCTAAGACGAGAGAAAAAGCCTAGGGAAAACTTGAATTATGGAGGTCTACATTGGAGTCTAATAGCCTTCATTTGAGTAAAACTAAAACTAAATACATGGAATGTAATTTTAGTAGGAGTAGCTCAATTGACAGAAGTGTAACTTTGGGTGATCAAATTATTAAATGCTATCGATTTAGATATCCCGGATCTGTTGTTCAAAGCGACAGTGATATAGATGGGGATGTTAATAGTAGAATTCAAGTTGGTTGAAGTGGAGGAATGCTTCGGGCCTTTTAAAATATGACACTAAATAGGCACTGAATGTTGGCCTTTAAAAGAGAAGCATAATACTAAGTTAAGTATTGCCAAGATGAGAATGATTAGGTGGATGAGTGGCTTTACACTTAGAGACAAAATGCGTAATGAATATTTCTGTGATAGGGTTGGTGTAGCTATAGTGACGGACAAAATTAGAGAAATTCATCTTTAGATGGTTTGGTCATATGAAACGTCGCCCATCTGATGATCCGATTAGGAGAGTTGATCTTTTAAATTCGACTTACTTTAAGAAAGGCAGATGTAGAACTAGGAAGAGTTGGGCTTATTGTATAAAGAAATGATCTTAATTTATTAGAACTGAATGAAAATATGACACTAAATAGGCACTGAATGTTGGCCTTTAAAAGAGAAGCATAATACTAAGTTAAGTATTGCCAAGATGAGAATGATTAGGTGGATGAGTGGCTTTACACTTAGAGACAAAATGCGTAATGAATATTTCTGTGATAGGGTTGGTGTAGCTATAGTGACGGACAAAATTAGAGAAATTCATCTTTAGATGGTTTGGTCATATGAAACGTCGACCATCTGATGATCCGATTAGGAGAGTTGATCTTTTAAATTCGACTTACTTTAAGAAAGGCAGATGTAGAACTAGGAAGAGTTGGGCTTATTGTATAAAAAATGATCTTAATTTATTAGAACTGAATGAAAATATGACACTAAATAAGCACAATGTAGAAAAAGGATTCATGTAGCCGACCCGACGCAGTGGGATTAAGACTTTGTTGTTGTTGTAATAAATTTTATGCTCATAAAATTTATTTTCAAAATAATTTGCTTCTTCCTCACAACTGCGGCTAGCTGCCTAAGAGTGGCATGGGTGCACCTGAGATTAGGGTTATTTCAGATATTTTATTCACAAACAACACTTTCAAAACCTAATTTTTCAAACAGATCAGCTGCTTTAGAAACACCATCTTTTAAATAACAGATTTTCCATAGTAGCTTTTGACTAAGATTTCATACAGTCACAACTGAAACAAATGTACATTTAAGATATGCTTGAAGAGCTAGTCACCATCATGCATCTTTTAATAAGTTTGTCATGAAAATATAAAATATAGGATAGAAGGAATTTGAAACTTTAAAAAAGTTAAAATAAGATATACGTCAAGTTCATGGTATTAGAATACACAGGATAGAAAATATTTTCTTTTTTCTAAACATTTAACAATGATAAATCAGTCTAATTCCTTTGTGAAGTTCAGCGAAATACAAATATAAGACAAATGGTGTTTTAAATCTCAAGCATAGAACAATAAAAAAAATCTCAAAACTACAATTAAGAAATTATCTTTTGTCCATTATGCATAAAGAGGTTATGCCCTTTTCTTGTACATATACTATTGATTTATTTTCATTTTCTTAAGAGCGGTGGATTAAACGCCTCTACAAGTCATCTCAATAGAGAGAAAGCTTTGTAATACACATTTTTTTGATGTAGGTACACAGAGCCTCATGTAAGCCTTTGTAAGTGTGGTGGGTTTCAAAACCCATGATTGAGGTTTCTCTTACACTAATTATGCATGTTTTCTTAAGCATGATGGGAATGCCTAGTATTTTCCATATATGCCTTATATCTGGTAGATATTGTTTGAAGTTTTTGAAATTTTCAGGAGCCTTGTTAGCAAAAGAATTTAAAATTTATACAATCAAAATGATCTCTAAACTCAATAATGTGATCAAATATAAAAGGCAATTATAAATTTATAAAAATAAAACATTATAGCACAATTCAAATGCAATGCATCTCACTTCAAATGATCTATAAGAATAAGAACTGCGAACTATAATTGAATACAGATAGAACCTATAATTAATTTGACAACTCCTCAATTTGGAAGAACGAGACCTTTTAATATACACTTGAAAGTATGTTACATGTCATATTGAAAGATCTGAAAAGAACCAAAAAGGAACCACAAGAGGACTTATAAGGGCCTTGAAATCTTGTGAAATGAGTATTAATGGATGCTCTTACTCGTAAATGTTAGAACCATGAAATGCAAATGAGATCATCCATTCATACAACAACAACAACAACAAAGTCTTAATCCCAACGGCTACATAAATCTTTTTTCTCCATTGCGTTCTATTTAGTATCATATTTTCATCTAGTTCTAATAAATTAAGATCATTTTTTATACACTAAGCCCAAGTCTTCCTAGGTTCACCTCTGTCTTTCTCAACAAAAGTTGAATCTAAAGCATCTGCCCTCCTAATCAGATCATTAGATGGTCGACGTTTAATGTGACCAAATCATCTATGATGACTCTCTCTAATTTTGTTTGTCACTGGAGCTACACCAACCCTATCGCAGATATAATCACCCTATCACAGATATAATCATTGCTCATTTTTGTCTCTAAGTGATAAGCCACTCATCCACTTAATCATTCTCATCACGACAACACTTAACTTAGTATTATGCTTCTCTTTTAAAGGCCAACATTCAACGCCATAGAGCATTGTAGGTCTCTCCACCATCTTGTAAAATTTTCCTTTAAGTTACACAAATGGCCCGAAGCATTCCTCCACTTCAACCAACACACTTGAATTCTACTATTAACATCACCATCTATATCTCTATCGCTTTGAACAACAAACCCCGAGATATCTAGATCGTTCACACCTTTTAATAATTTGATCACCCAAAGTTACACTTCTGTCACTAGAGCTACTACTACTAAAATTACATTCCATGTAATCAGTTTTAGTTCTAGTCAAATGAAGGCCTTTAGACTCCAATGTAGACCTCCATAATTCAAGTTTTCCTGGGCTTTTTCTCTCCTCTTATCCACGAGAAGGATATCATCAGCAAAAAGCATGCACCAAGATACATCCATTCATATGCGAAAAAATATTTCCTATCAGGCCCGCGTGATCAAAATGCAATGCAAACAAAAAATTTCAAGACAAAATGCAACTTATGTCAATTACAACTAGATTCACAGAACCAACACATGAGTGGACTAAATGCGATTGTTAAAAGCTTTAAATGAAGAGTTTGCACATATCTTAGCGGCAACATATTTGCCAAATAATTAAATCCAAAAAAAATTTGTAGTACTATGTGAGCTACGAAGTAGCTTTCAACTCAAATACAATACAATAGTGAAAGTATATCAAAAAATAATATTATGCATGGGATCTGATAAATGCACTAATGCTTAGGCTTAAGATCAGAATACTTTGCGTATTAATACAAACAAAATACATCTGTATGTGTTCAACAATTGTGCTAAACCCTTGAACTTAAGACCAAAGAATGCTGCACAGTCTAATGATAAGCTCAATTTGCCTTGCTTTGAGTGGCTTGTGGTTGCTCTGAAATGCATGTAATCATTTTGAAAAAAAATAAATTCTTTTCGAAACCTAAAACTTAATTAAGACATACATGCATCATATATCATTTTAGTTAGATAATCAACCTTTTCCCACTTTTTAACTCTAATTGGATTAATATGTGGCTTGTTTTTTCAAAGATGTCATGTCCAACCCTTACATTTCATCGTAATTGTGGTAAATTTTTGTGCGCCAATATATTTGAAATCATAACCAGTTTGTTTATTTTAAGGTTTTATTATAGACTATTAAATTAACATTAACTTTGAATGTTTCTTATATTGGCTTGAATGGACAATGTGGGTTCTAGTATCTACCTAAACATCCATAGATCATGTTCATTATGAATCTCCCTAAGTTTGTTTGCGAGTGTAATAGGAATATAAATGAATTATATTTGCCTGAAATCTTTTGAACTTGATAATTTTAGTATAAGCATAGTGACCTCAGCTGTCCCTTGCTAGTAAAGGTTTACCTTTGTTGCCACTGCATTTGTATTTAAGTCTTGTGAAATTATAGTATTCAACTGTCATGCGATCTGGACTGACTTCGAATGTATTAAAAGTAAGATGTCATACTCTTGTATTAAGTGGACTTTCCAGTGGTCTTGTTCTAGTTCAAATCGAACGCCTGTTCTGAGCTTTGCTGAGCAATTCGTGAGTAAACTTAATGATGTCCCTTTCATCATATGCAGCTCAAAGGGAGAAGGCACTGGAAAAGCAGCTCCATAGCCTGATTGAACAATTGACTGCAAAGCAAGTAAGTTTTGACTTCAAGATTTTCCTTGATTTGTCTCCCTCTCTCTCTCTGTTGGATTTTCCATTTCGTTGGAGGAGAACTGTCATTCTCCACTTATTTAGATTTTGAGGTTATAACTTACAAGTATAATATCGTTCCCTTTAACATCATAAGATATAATTTTAGTGTGATTATGAGAATTTTTAAGAAAGCTTTTTCATCAATTTGATGCATTAAAATTTTCATGATGGATGGCTTGAAATGCATTTGAAGTTAATTTTGATTTTGAAGTATAAGGACTTTCAAGTGATTTAAAATCATGTGTTGTTGATTATAACTTTGCATTATTGGGTAGTTTTTGATTGGTGAGATATATAGGTAGTGCTAGAAATTTTAAACAGCTTCTATATGCTATTCGATTATACATTTATTTTACATATATTTGATTAATGGTGAAATCATCATGAAAATTGATGAAACTCAATTATATTTAATTTTTAATTATGATTTTATATTAGGGCGATTTCAGTCGAAACCATCATGAAACTTCATAAATATTTTTGGCTTCAATTTTCAAGTCTCTCAGCCGGAAGTCTAGAACTTCTATGAAACTTCACATTAAAGTTATACTTTTAATGAAATTTGGCTATAATTCATGAGTATTAATCAAAGTCTTAGAAATTTGTGACAAATACTCTTTTTCATCCATTAAAAATACTTTCAATTGTTTTTTGTAATAAAAAAACGATCAAACAAAACTGCATTACAAAACTACTGCAAAGACTAAAATTTTATGATGGGATTGACATTGAAATACAAATTGAGTTTTAAAAACCATTGATTCTTATTTTGCACATTACAATGAATTGTGTGCTTTTTAATTTGAAGATTATTATGATAGTAATTGCAAAAAAAAAAAAAAAAAAAAAAATAAGTTCCTATCTTCCAAGAGATTCCAAGAGAATCACTGTTCTTTACCCAATTAATTTTTGGTATTATGGTTTCCAATTGCATGATCAAATTTGACCTTTGCCGCTAATATTATTAAAACTAATGTCATTCGTGGTTGGCTAAAAAATTTAACACTAGTTCGCTATGACTGCATGATAAAGTGATTGAGATTCCGAAGTATATGTAGAGACTTTCAATTGGATGTGAACTTGACGATATCTTGCATATATTAAATTATTTTGATTGGTGAAATATATGGGTAAACTATACTTTTGGAAAGCCTTTCATATGCCATCCAATCATCCTTATATATTCATATTCACGATGAAAGATTAAATCATCTAAAAATTGATCAAACTTGGCCCATGCATAGTTCTCGTGTCATAGATCACTATTAATTGTTTGATTTTGAAATTAAAAATTATATAAAGCGGTTGATAAGAACAAAATTCGAAGGAGAGTAGTCATCTAAAAATTGATCAAACTTGGCCCATGCATAGTTCTCATGTCATAGATCACTATTAATTGTTTGATATTGAAATTAAAAATTATATAAAGCGGTTGATAAGAACAAAATTCGAAGGAGAGTAGTCATCCTAATAGGAAGAGAAACACTATTTTCCTGCTAATTAAATTTTGGATACCTCCAAATTCAAGATCAAAATTGTCCATTATCATTTTTAAAACAAGATAATGCTCGATTTAAAAATTTTTTATGATAATTTGATCATTAATTGAGTGCATCAAAGTTTCATGTTAATGACTCTGACTGCATGATAAGATAATTATCAAGTTATAGGATTTTTTAAATAGCTTGGAATCAAATGAGTTTGTTGATGATATCATGCATATATTGAAAGGTATACATAGGTAAATTTAAACTTTTAAAATAGACTGTATGTTTAATCTTCCCTATTTTTTCTTATGCTCAAGCAATTTTTAAACCATCTTGAAAATTTATGAAATTTGATCCATATATTATTTTATGTTGTGAGTCACAATCAATTATGTGAGCTTCACTGTGAAGTTTGTACAAGCAATTGATGCAAAAACTGAAATTAGATGAGAGTATTTATTTTCTTTCCATAGAGAGAAAAAGCAATATACACTTAAATGATATATCTTCGCTTCTTGTAGGCACAAGCAGAGAATCTCATTGTCGAGATACGCACCAAGAAAAAGGAATTAGAGAATCTCAGCAACATGCAAATGAAGCTTGACACTAATTCCACTGATGTTAGCACCACAAGGAATCGCTTTAATAGGGGCATGACAGGAACGGATCCAGCTTATGCTGATTATGTTGGAGACTCCTACTGCAGGTCTTCCACTGCAGGCATCAGAAAAGAAAGCCTGCAAAAGCTTATGCTTCTAAGGTCTGCATTTGTTCTGTATATTTTAGCCCTCCATGTAATTGTTTTTATAAAAATCTCCTTTTGATTTGTCTCTTATTTCATGGCATTCTCTGTATTTAGTTTCTATGGTAGAAACTCATCTTTTTATCGAGTGGCTATTTCTTTTGTTCAATTCTCCAAGTAATCCTTTAAACCAATGAAACTTAACATCATACGGGACAGGCCAAGCTCTTCCAATTGTACATTTCTTGAGGGTGTTTCATTTATTTATTTTTTTCATTTTTTATTTTTTTGTAGTGTAACGTTAGTCTAGCACACTGCCTTATGAGAATTTATCACGATCTCAGCAATGGACGGAAGTGGCAAGAAGTTTAGAGAGGTTAGAGATTTAAAATGGCAACCAAATTCCAAAACAAAGTTTTTGACATCCAACTGTCCACATGCTGCAATAGATCTGAAATAACATGATTAGAATTTTAGAACATGCACCCAGCTCCAAACGATAGGGAATGCTACAACCGAAATCGCCCAACTTCTGGAGCAAAAAACCTTGGCCTCACTGAAAGTCATATGGCACAACCCAATATTTTAGCAACAAATAAGGATAGATGCTATGTGCTTATTGATGTAGAAAAGCAACCAAGGCAATTATAGCGTTTTGCCAAATATTTTCTAATTTTCTTTCTTTTTCCATGAGATGACTCTTAGAAGAGCATGACTTTTTTTTTTTTTTTTGATTGAGAATATTGTTAGGCTTTTGATTCCTTAATATATAGTCAATAAGCGTATGATTTGAATTTATTAGAATAATAATTGGTTTTTATTTTGGGTATAGTTAAAAATTTGTTTGAATAATTTGCTATCTTAAATACTTTTAGGTCAAAATTTAAACTTTGTATTTGAAAACTACCATCTATAATCTTTTCTCTTATAGGAACATTAGGAGAGTGTTAGGGATGTGTGGAAAATTGTGAACTTTTTGGATTGATTTTTTGGATTGTGCTGTGTAAGAGGACAACTTTTGCGTAATGATATCTTGCTTAAATTCTGACCAGGGTGGGTTCCAAAGTCATTTCATTTTCTTTGAGATGAATGTACCATATGAAAATTCAATTAAAATTCTGTATTACACTCATTTCAAAGTAAATTCAACGTTTTAAGATTTATCCCAACCAAAAAATTAGTCAGGATATCTTGAACCCATTTCTTACTTGGTGGGGCTATAATTGGCTTTTTTGAGGAAGTGAAGGAACATACTTGAGAATTGAAGAGAACATAGAAGAGAATTAGGAGAGATTAATTATAGTAAGAAATTGATTAATGTGACTTCGGAGTGCAATTTTGGTGAATTGAAAGGCTGATTGTGCTGGAAATTTGTGATGAGTTTATTGGGATTTGGAATGATACTCTTTTGAGGAATTTTTAATTTGGCAGTTTTTTGTGTTATTTTAACATCTTTTTTTTTTAAATTAACAATTTTTTAGTTATTTTCTCTTATATTTTTTTGAGAGCTTTGATTTTTTTTTTTTCAGTGAGATTAGGTGCACTTGTGTTTGGGAAAACCATTTTCTTATTCAATATTTTTCTTGTATTGAGCTTTATATATGACCCATTAGCTAATTGATCTTAAAGATGGATTCAATTTCCTGAGAAATTGGCTTGAAATATTCAATTTGTATGAAAATTCACCTTGTTGCTGAAAACTTCAAAATCATGGATGGCAAGATCAGCTAGAGATTTCAAATGCATGGACATGAAAGAAATTGAATGCAAAAATAATGAGCATCCCCCCTTTTTTTCTATAATACTAACTTATGGCATCTCAATTGCACTAAAAGAATCTATTGTCTTTTTAGCCAAATGGACCATCATGATGCTTTTGAGATGTTGAAATTTTCTGTGAAGATCCCTTCATATGTTTTGGTTGTGATATAAGGAAATATTTTGTATGCACATTGAGAGACAATAGAATGCGTTAAGAATCTATTGTCTTTTTAGCCAAATGCACATTGAGAGACAATAGACCATCATGATGCTTTTAACACTGCCGTTGTCGGTCCCAAGCCCGGATGAGAAAAGTGGAGGGTTGCGTAAGGTAGTCGACAGCCAGCGTAAAACTTGTCGAAAAAAATCATGACATGAATCCTTTTGATCATTGTGTAAGTGCTAGGGCGTCCCCTGGAAGCGACGCGCTGTATAGCCTGAATACAGTGAAAAGTGTGCAAGGGCCGCTACACCGGAGCCCGGGTGTAGTGTTAAATAAGCAAGAGTTCCCACATTACGGGCGAATGCGGGTAAAGAAGTTAGTCCATGAAACTAATGAAACTAATATTAGGATAGGATCTTGGAATATAGGCACTCTCAATGGTAAATTAATGGAATTAGTTGATATTATGATTCATAGGAAAATTAATATCTTATGTATTCAAGAAACTAAGTGGGTGGGAGAAAAGGCTAAGGAGATTGATAATTTAGGTTTTAAACTTTGGTATTCTGGTAAGAGTCGCA